TCGTCGTCGTCGGTGGTGCTGGAGGAGCTCTGCCGCTGCGGGGAGCCGGGGATGTTGATGGGCTGCGTGCTCATGCTGCGCACATACACAACGAACACGTCACACCGAATTCGGAACCCCGTCAAATGTAGCCCAATTTGGGAATTAAATCACATCAAAACCCAAACGCTACGTAGTTTTCTTTTCAATTAAATCTCTACGTCTCTTCCCTTTTTCTTTCAATAAACTAGTGATTTCTTTTAGAAGTGTTATGTTACGAGGATTATTGAGAAATGGTACTGAAAACAATACGATGCACATTATCTTGTGAGTCTAATTTCATAATAATAGAATAGTGAGTGTAGAGGTGTGTGTTGGGTGGAGTGCAGGCAGTGGAAGGCAGTGGAGGCACGTACCGCGCGGGCTGCGGCTGCGGCCGCGGCGCTCGCTCGCCACCACGGAGTCGGAGCTGCGGACACATGTCAATGGAGCATAACAACAACACCAGCTAACGACGACGTGCTCTTTAATCATTGACACGTTACTGTGTCTTTTCATAATCTGAAGGTAAATTAAGTAAAAAAACGGTACAGTTCTAGAAAGATTCTTCGCTATACAGAATAGATAAAAAATATGACTTACATTTCAATAATTTTTTTTTTAAATATATCACAAACTATAGTAGGTAAGCGAGCACAGACCTGGACTTGTGCAGGTCTGCGGGGGCTGCGGGGGCGGCGGGCCGCGGCTCCGCCCCGCGCGCGCGCGCCTCCGCCCCGCCCTGCGCAACTCGATTATATTTTTGTGTATGCTCATTTAATATTATAAAAGTAATAAGTTAATATTATTAATTATCATATTTATACGAACAAAATAACTTTTCAGAAAGTCGAAAGTTTCTATAAAATTTAAATTTCTCCGTACCACTGCCAAAGTGAAGCTCAGCATTTTGTTTGGATAAGTTTAAATGAATATCTTAGTATCTTCATGGTACAATATCGCAATAAAATATTCAATAGGATATACAAAGATAGTGACCGTGTGAGCGTGGCTGTTGGTGTGCGGGGGG